GTGATCCAGGAATGCTTGACAAGATTTTGGCCTCCTAGGAGCCAAATCTGGTTTCTGAAGAGCCTTGCATGTCAAAATCATCCAGTGGAACTATGAAAAGGAAAATTGCAGTGTCTAGGAAAAGCCTCATTAAAAGCACACAAAAATTATTAAGTGCATTGCAGGAATCCATCTTCTGTTGGCAAACAGACTGTAACTTTTGCTTCCAAGTTCTAAATTGTTCTAGTTCTGCCCCAGAAACGAATATTTCTCTCTTCTCTAACTTAGTTTCCACATAAAGAAGGTTATACTGCCCTGCAGGTGACATCCTCAATATGTGTGGTAAACACTACGACAGTGACAACAAACAAGTCACACTTGCAGTGCTTGTGTTCAGGGCTGGTCATTGGAACTGTCAGTTAATGCCCACCCCTCCCTCAGAAAGGCAAGTGAAGAATCCGTCTTCAAAGTGATCACTGATCAGACATGCCTTTCCCTAAAGTGGCAACCCGCTACAAAACCAGCATGCACAAACCAGGTATTTTAAATACTAAGTTGACTTTAGGCATTTTGCTGTGGAGTCTGAAATTTTGGGGGAAAAGGCCATCAATAATATTCTGTTATTCTTCAAAATATTTGAAGGCGTTAAAGCAATTAAATGCTTAAAATATTTATAAAAAGACAATTCCAAAATGTAATCTTCTTTACAGTGGGGGAGAAAAAGAGATCTCTAGATTTGCTGTTTCAAGAGTCATGTGTGAGGAATGAAAATATGAAAAAAAGACGAAACTGAAAGAATTATTATTACAGATGGAAACTTCTGGGAGAACACTTTATTGAACAAATACTTTGAAGTTAGCAAAGATCTGATTCTATATATTTAAAAAAAAATCTTTTAAAGCTAACATACCAAACTGAAATACTTTTGCCTTTTAAGACAGTACGTCCAACTTTTCAAGATGATGCCTCAATTTCAATACAGCATCTTTTAGAAACGTTCCTGGTCAGCTTGACAGCATGTGACTGCATCAGTACGTTATTTCAGAGGCACTTTGATATGCCTGGGTGGTGGCAGTAGTTACCAGGGCTTGCTTTTTGATATTCTGTTTCAAATGGCTTTTCCTTCAAGGAACGAGAATAAGTAAACAGTCACCTACATTTTAACAACATCCATAGCCTTGAGCATAGTAGCTGGCAATTTTTCCTCCTTTCTCTGAATGCTGAGTTTACACAAGAACCTTAACCTCCTGGGTGTTTCCTAGACTATGTAAAAAGTTGATTTTGGATTCTTGGAGGAAATTACCATCAGAATTTCCTATATTTATACTTTTTGGATGAATAAGGAAACTGAAAGAAGAGTTATATTTTAAAAATCCACTTATAGAAATAGATCGTTTCTTGGCAAGTCAGCAAAAGCTGTCATATGCACGTACCTACTTTTGTGCAACCGAACTATTTTTTGCTTTAATGATCTTTTGTTTTGAAACTCTTCACTGAGAAGTAACCTAATAGTGATTCTGAAGTAATGTTCTTCATGATAGAGTGATCACTGCAATAAAACCATGACTCTATTAGCATTTCCAGCATAAGTCTTTAAAACTTTTCTCTCCACAATTGTTTTAAGTCTTTGGATATGCATACACACAATCATAACAGTAGAGAGTGGGGACTCCTCATGTGGATCCAAATTCCTCCTCTTATCTACCCTTGGGGGAGTCTCTTTCCTACCCCATCATTAACTGTGGGGAACACTGGAGAGACTGGKTTTGTAAAGTTTGTTTCTATAATTATGTGGTCTGTAGAAGCATGTTGTGCAGATGTGATAGCAGATCTGTATTATTTATTACCAGATTATAAGACCCTGATGGATGTTAAGCTGAATTTCACAATAAGCATGATGCAGTTTGAGTTGACGGTGTTAATTTAACAAAAAATGTCCATTATCCAAATGAGCGTTGAACTGGTGAGTCAATCATTTTGCAGCTGGTTAACTTGAGAAATGTTGCTTAATCACACAGTCAGCTAAGCAGCCAAAAATGTTCATTCTGTAATTGCAAAATATTGCKTCAGGACAAAAAAACATTTCGTCTTTCTATAATTGCAAGTACATCATGTCGGCCTATACAGTCTTCTAAAAACATGGAAGGGAGGCATAGAAGATGACCTAATTTAATGATCCGATTAGACACCTATTTTTTTTTTAACTTTAACTTTAAATTATTTTTCATTAATTCCTTACCTGAAGATATTACTTGTAAACCAGGGATTTCAAACTAATTTCACAACATATGGAAATAAATACTGAATATAAATAGAAAAAGAATATTCAAAATAAATCTTTAAGTTGTTTTTTATATTAGTGTATTTTAAAGTATTTCCCTGCAACTTTCAGGGTCATAAATGCGAAACGTGAAGTGCAACAATTGGCAATTTGTGATTTATTTACCTATAGAGGCAAGTATTTCTCTAATGCTAGCTCTCCCTAACTCTGAAATTGCAAACATTTTTGGAACAGTTGGAAGGAAAAGTAATAAAAATAGCATCATTTCGAGAGATATTTTGAGAAAGAAAAGCCAGAAGAGACAATATTTAGATATGAGTCACCATAAGACATATACACAATTCTTACACAGCAACTTTTACCTAGAAACAAGATTACACATTTTTACTGAACTGTGACAACTGAAGAGAGTCCATGAATATATCCACTGCATTAAAATTAGCAGCTTTTACTCTTCTGTGCTAACCACTTCCACTCTGAAAATGAACACTTTTTTGAGAGAGTAAAAACCAAAACAAACCGAAAGACTGCTGCCTTCTAACACCATTAACATCATACAAGTGTCAAGACTCCGATAATGCTCTTGATATTTCCCTTTCCTTGTATTATCACCACCAGTGTTTAGAATAACTAAATACACCATCAGAATGGAAGTTCRTTATCCATGTGGCAGCCTAATAAGTTTTTTAAGCAAAAGAAAAGAAATCAACTTCTGACATACATACACTGTGCGGACAAATCCACACAGCTTTACAATATTCATCAATTTTCACTGCAAAACAGGCTAGAGAGTAGCCTAGTTGCCTAGTTGCCTAGTGGAGAACCCAAGGTGCTTTTAGGCTAGTGTATTTTTGTTACTTCTGTTTCTTTAGTACAATTTGTTTCAACTAAACTAGACAGGACCATAAATTGATTAGTAATAGTGTGATCTGAAGCAGGATTTTAATATTAGTATCAAAAGGGTTAAGATATAGCTCATCTTCCTAAATACTCTGCTGCAGCTGAAAATTCCACCAAAGAGGGGGAAAAAAAACAGCAGAAAAGTTGGAATACATTTACCTCCTGTTTCCCCCTCTATCAGTTATTTTTCTGTGCCTTAACTGGGCTTATTATCAGACTGAAGTTCAAGAGTTTGGAAATCCCTAAAGGGGCTGATGGGCTGTTTCCACTGATGTTGCAATCTGTCTCACCAGTTTTCAGGCTGATATCCAGCTGCATTATTGCCTAACCTTTCTATTTTTTTTTTTTCTTTTTCTTCTTGCATAAACTCTCAACCGGTCTAGGTAGAAGCTGAAAAATACAGTATTTGTCCCCATAATCACCGCGGGCAGGGGGGCTTCTCGTGCAATAACCTATATAGCAATGGATACTAAAGCAAAGGGCAACAAGATCAGTTTAGTTGCAGAAAGGAAGCAAAAAGTTAATTTGCAGCCACATCTCAGACCTGCTTGGAGGCCCATGAGGTCACCATGGTGACAACGCTGACGGGAAATACGGCAATCTCTTCTCTTGCTAGGGGAGGCATCCAAAAGCCACAGATTGTTAAACAGGTTTAAGTCTGCATTCTTGAGGTCTTTTTGAACTTTTGTATGCATATAGGAGTGGGAATTCTTGTTTTCTGCACGAGGCCAGAAGGTCTTGACTCATCCTGGTCACGAGGCCAAACCGATTTTTACATTAACAACAAAGCCTTCAAGCCGTAAGTCTTCCTCCCCAGATGGCTCCTGCTAAGGAATTGTGAGCAGTCATTTGTTCCTCTCAACTTTGTAAGCTTCTTACCTTCGATCAATGCCTCAGATATAAAAAACCTATAACTGCTACCAGAGCAAAGCACACACAGCTCATTTATCGCTTGCTTTGGCAGCAAGCAGTACAGAATGCTCCCCACTGTTGTTGGTCTTGGTTTTGGAGTGCAAACGCAGCATCCCTCACCAGCTCCAAACCTCAAAAACTGTTTCTGACTGAAGCAACAATCTTCCCTCCACTCTACAGCGTGCCAGTCCCCTCCTCCAGAGGCAGAGCAGCCTCCCTGCTAGACACTAGGTTCTCTAATAGGAACCGCTATAAATCTCTGACTCTGTGGGTGGATGTTGAAGAAGCTGCAGACAGAAGTTGCACGCATCCCTTCCCTTCTCAACACTCTATAAATACAGATACTGCATACAGAACAAAAGCATTCCAAAACCTATGAAACAACAGATTTCTAAGCAGTGGGGCAAATACTTGTACGATTGCTTATTTTTAAGAGGTCTACGTATATGATGTATATRTAGCATTCTGAGCTTAATGCTGCAATTACTATATCATTTTGCTATACAATAGTCATAGTATTATCTTTGTGTTACATGTGAGTATGTGTGCATAATATATACACAAATATATTWAAAAAAACCTCAAAAATAAAAATGTACACAGGAAAAAGCCAATACTCTTTAGTTTGCTAAAAGAAATTTGCATTAAAGATACCTTCTGTGTACCTTCTGTGGTGCTGCAATGKGCAGCTAGTACTCCAAGGAAGTCAAATTCAGATAATGAGATTATAAATTTATCCATGTCTTAATATAACTAAAACAACCATTTACCTTCTTAGTGCAAAACAAATTACTATTTAATGTAGGCTGAAAGTGTAGTTTCAATTATCCCAAYTATTCCAGTTTTGGCTTACATTCAACTATGTCAAAAAGCCCCCTGCAGAAATCTGCTAAGAGGAAAAAAGATACAATTACTTTTACTTACATACCTTGGCCTCCGAAATGCTAAACCATAATGTTGGCAAGCCAGTCCCACAGTGGGAGTATATACAATAGGCATGAACCTTTCAATGTCAGAAGTCAGCACTTTATAGAAAAGCTTTTCATTTCGATCCTGAAGACTCATTAGCAGAATGTATCTGTAAAGAATTAAACATAATTAGACAGGCATCCAGTGAGCATATAAAGTCAATTTGGAAATAAAAACATGTTTAGACAATTAATCAAAGCTATGTTTGCTCAAGAACAGCCTCTTTCTTCTCTAGAGTATTTAAACTCCTCCACGCCTTAGCATCACAAATGTCTCAGACATAAAGGATAAGAACGTGGCCAAGGCAGACAGAAGTCGAAGTTGAAACCATCGCAARGCTGACATATGGTACCCGCTCAGGAAGCTCCTCTCTCTCAGGTATGAAATTCCACACTGCACTGGAATGATATTTGGTCTGCCTGAACSGAAGCCTTACGTACCAGCTGTTCCATCTGAAATGCATAGTTGTTAAATGAAACTCATGGACTCTCTTGATCAAAAAATCCTAACCCAAAATGTTAGCTTTTTCTCCTCGTCTCAAAAGAAAWTTCTCCCACAAACCTTGACAAATTCTATTTTAGGACTAAGATTTCAAATGCAAGGTGCACACATATGTTCTGGAGTCTGTGTTTTTAATGGAATCTGTARTATTTTCTCTCTTAACAGAACAGAATATTGGACAGCATTTGGAGAAGTTTTATGTTTATTTAAAAATGAGAAAAAAAAATGAAAGCAGAGAAAGTTCTTGCTTAGTTTGATCTACTTTTACATATCATTACTCTAATGCTGAAAAAATATTCTACTGCTCCAAAATCCAAACTAGGATGCCAAAGAGTAATTTCGATGCTGAGGAAAATATCCTCAAATAACACAAGTCCATAAATGTAATAAATTTGAGCTATACTAGCTCATACCAGCTAGGAATCTCTTCATTGTCTTCTCTTGATCACTTAATATTTTGGATTTTGGGATACCAAAATCTCACCTCTTTCTTCACTAATCTTAGTAAGGTCAGTATTGCAATTTTGATCGGATTGCCTGTTACATACTATTTCAACTGTAGTAGTTCRTGGAATCTTTTACTAAAGCCCTTGTTTAATTCAAAGCACAGTGAAAACAAGCAATAAACCACTGAGAACAATCATTTGAGCTATAAAAAGGGAAAAAATATTCTCTGTCCTTGGAAAAGGAGTCTTGAATGAGGGTTTCAGAGAAAAACTTCAGAAGAGGAAAACCAAGCACTGGCACGTGGGCCAGCGGGGACTGCCAAGCACTCACATCCCAGTATGTCACACTAAGCCTTGTGCTTAGTTCACCTAAGAAGGTTTCACTCCAGCCTGCTTTTACAAGGGGAACAAAAGTAGGAACAAAAGCATATGAACTAAAGATCATCTAAAACCCCAAAGGCTGACGTGGCTACCAGAAATTTATTGCTAATTCCTTGAGGGTGACTGGTCTTCCCAACCACTGACATGCATTTCACAAGGCAAAACAGAAAGATTAAAACAAAACCAGAAACAAAGCTGTCCCAAGAGCCAACAAAGGCAACTGAGATGTACACACTATTATTTTTGACCTGTATAAGAAGATATTTATCTCCATTAGGCTGGATCAGCAGCATGCCACTTCASGTGGAGAATTAAAAAAAGAACAATACAAGATTCTCAGCAAAAGTGATCTGATGGCACCTCTCCTAAGGTTCACATATTTGATAAAACATTTCTACCAACAGGAGTTTTTAGAGGAAGAAARCCCCAAACAAGAGGTATGTCTGTGTCAAGCACAAAAATTTCAGAGTCAATAACAAGGAAAAAAAAAAACAATTAGGAACATAACAGTGGGGGGAAAAGATCAAATTAYTTGCAGAATTCACTGCAGACTTTCCAAATCAAGTTAGAAGAGTAGAATTATTTTCTGTTTTATTTTCTGTTATTGGCTCCCTTCTTTTTGCCAAGCATATCAGGCAGGCTATTTGTTACCGTATCACATTTGGTTTGTATACGAACCCTTGGCATTTTAGAGCACAGCAACCCTGTGCTGCAAGTCAGCAAGGGAGTTTGAGCCACGCCAAAACACATACTGCCATGGCACTGTCAGCTTTGCTTTATGAATTTGCACACACTTTCTTTCCAATCAAAACCAGGGCAACAATCCTGTCAGTGAAAGATGCCGCCTTACACAGCACTGTGCTTCAGCACAACCAACTATCTAAGGCATTTCTGCAATATCCAAATGCCTGGGCTTAATCTTTTGCGAAGTACTTGCACATAAATTACGGAGGAAACAACTCGTGGAAATGGCACCAGACCCAGGTTTCCATTTGGTTTTGTCCTCTTCCATCCACACCTGCCAAACACAGAGGCACACACCCATTATCAAATCATAGCACCATGAAGAAAAGAACAACTTTCCTTTATTTCTTTCCAATCGCTGCCCCTATGGGAGGGAAGGCTATGCCAAAGGCATAAGTGGAAGAAATGGTTTATTTCTATGCCAGAGGCATAAGTGGAAGAMATGGTTTATTTCTAGAATTAGTGTATTTACATACAGCAGAAGGCAATAACAGCATGCTTTTGCATAACATCATCCTTGAGCACGTTCCCAGGCAGTGCACAATGAGGTTTCCTCTGAAGTTCCAGTTAAAACAGAGAAATGTCTTCCAACCTTCTCCATTAGTGAGACTAAGGGAGCAACTGAGGCAGGATCAGCATCCTTATTCCCTTGAAAATGTTTTGAATAAGAGTATGGAAGGCCAGGTTCACCTACTGCCTCGAAGGACAATCTTTTTTTAATTTAAAAAAATTATTCTGAGCTCACACACACGTAATGCATATATTCTTGGAGTAACATCTCTACTGACATGCTCTGCTAAAATTTTCAAGGCCTGTCAAGAAGGTCCCTCTGCTCAGCTGCTCTGCTCTCTCGTGCATCCAAGCCATTAACAAAGATCCTACAGGGAATGGGCCACAGTGTCGATCCTTTGGCACACAGCCAGTTGCCGGTCTCCAGCTGGAGGTTCAGCCTGTTGCTGATCACCAGCCCTTTGAGCCCAGCAGTTCTGGCCCTGTTCGATCCGCCTCACTGTCACTGTTTCTATACCGAAATGTTTAATATAAAGATCTATTTTAGGGCCATCTTTCAGTAAGAAGTGCTGCGATGACATCCAAACGTTAAGTTTATTGTTATTTCAGGACTGCCCACTTGTGAACATTTATTGTAAAAATTGAGGTCTATAGAAGTCTGAGCCCTCCCAGTGATACAAATTCCTGCTTTCATGGTGTTCCAAAGCACTTACTTTTAGTCCCATTCCTTAACTTTTCACCCAATCTGCTGCCTTAATCACAACAACWGCTCGGTTCCAATTTCGGATTCCTAACACCTTTGCATCACAGCCTGCTTAACTCAAAAGCATTTAGCACCTCCATTATCCAAGGAAAGGATGGATCAACCTCCTCCCTGCTCTTAACGTTAGKGCCTACTTCCAGCACCTCCCATTCCATAGAGTTACATCGTCTATAATTGTTTTTCCTCCTTTTCAGCCTACTTCTCATCACAGTTGCACTGGCTGCTCTGTAACCCATATTTCATCCCAGCAGCGAGATACCTCTGCTTTTAAACCCAGCTCACAACTGGCAATCTTCTACACCAGCTCTTGAAGACCACTGGGTCTATCAATGCAGGCAATGAAAACCTAAACTATAGCTTAAATATAGATAAAAAWCAGATAAAATGCCTGGACCAATTGAGAAATACTGCCACGGAGTAAGCCTAGATGATAAACAGACCTTTCAATTTTGAGAGGGAAAGATATTATCTAGTAAATTATTTTTAAGATATTTTGACCAATGATCAGATTGRTGAGAAAATAAACAGTTGTAAGTTGCTTCTGTGAACTAAAGATTGACTAGTTTTGTCAGCTGAAGCACTCTATCAAAACCCTATGAACAACAATAAATTTACTAATTTAAATTCGTAAAACTCAGACCTACACAGTGCAATATAATCTTTATAGTGAAAACAGCTTATTTTGAAGTTACAACAAAATCCTCCATACAYGTGGGATGTAATCTGTGTTTTAAGAATGGCTGATGACTGGAGAAGGAAAAAATATATATTCTATTTATTTATATTTATTTGTAAATACAAATAAATATTATTTGTATCTGTGTAATTTTACATATATGACATGTGGGTTAAGTTTACTACCTAAAAAGTCTTTCTTCCCTCCCTCACTCCCACAATAGATCTTCTTTACTATCTACTAACATAATAAAACACGTTTTCTGCAAAGTATTCAGCCAATACTGAGAGTCAGTTATTTTAATTAATGACTCACAGTTCAATGAAAAATTCAGTATAGCTCATTTTCCTATGGTTTAAATAGCCTAATATTAAAACTTTTATTACTTTGTCATCTGAAAGCGATAGGAATTTTTTTCCTTTCCTGCAGAAATTTTCCATTTTGGCAAATAGTAATTTAAATATCCCAATTTTTTGGCAGAAAAGCAAAGAAGTAAGATTTGGGAATACTGCTACTCTCCTCTTAAATTCCACCTACTTAAATCTGCAATTTTCAATATCTTGCTTTGGGAATTGCAAGTGCTCTTCTCCTGTGCTGAGAACTAGGTGCAACAGGTCTTTGCTAGTTAAGGTGCAAAAGAAAGAAAGAACTAGGACAACAGTACTAAAGGCTTTTTCTTTTCTTTTCTTTTTTTTTTTTTCAGTTTTTGCTTTGGGCTTACAGGTGAATAGAAAATACAGCAATTCTGGTAGAAACAAACAATTTAAACAGTCTTAGAGTCTTAAATGTGTTGTCCTGTGAAGCAACAATCTGTCCTCATGAGTGGACCACTTCAAGACAGAGTGAAAGAGGGGCTGGGATGGAGGGATGGAAGCACAGAGAAGCACAGAGAAAGGTTTCTGTTAAGATAAAGCAGCTGTCACAGCTGGTGTCTTGCTGAGAGTTTGCCTTGCTCCATGCAAGAAGTCAGACGAAAACACTCTGGGCGTAAAAGCTGCTCGTCTAGAAAAGAGGCTACAGTAAATGAGCTCTTGCTCACACTGAAGGCTGTCTCCACAGTGTTCTGCCTCCGAAAATAACTATTACAGAAGCACCATCAGAGAGTTATCTAAAAGCTATTTGCAATATATGATGATATAGGTAACAAGGCAGCACACAAGGAAGTAAAACAAGACAACAGGAACAAACCTTAAAGGAACATATTCTCATTCTGTACCTTATTTAATGCTTAGAACAATGCTACAGGACAGCAAAATACATATGGATATTGTTAAAAAATAAAAGCTCTCTTAAACATTTTTCCTTTAAAAAAATCTGTCGTTATAATATTTTATATATTTTTATAATTATCTGTATCTACAGATAAAGCACATWAACTTGTTAGTTTGCTTCCACTGGGCTTTCTATCATCTAGCTATTAAAAAAAACATTTGTGTGAACAGCACTGGAATGTTACAATTTAAAATTGTTGAATTTTAGAAGAAAGCATTCTATAAAAACAAGAACTGAAATGTAGATTATATACTTACCCTGACATTTACCAATCCTTAACTACCACAGCTTAATAAAAAATGAAAATTTCCTTTGAACTACCACCAGGGTGGTGGAAAAGTGACTCATGAYTTGGGAAGTATAATAAATCTTCTTATCAGTAGTTTACCTGTCTAAGTCAGATGTCAGCCTTTCAAAATTCTGCAGAATAGTGTAAACCTGGACATCTTGACTGAGAAAGCAAGGTGGCAATAATCCATGGATATTCAACTGTTGCCTCTCCTCCAAGGTAAAAGCCATGCCCTGTAAAAAAAAAAAAAGGAATGGTATAATTTTCAAGAATATTTTGCAGAAAAAAACGGCACAGGTAAAGCCAATATTAAAAATCATTTAATAGCAAACAAAATTATCAATTATGCAATGATTTGAGGAAGAGTTTTTAAACAAGTTATACTGGAACTGCCCTGTACAGYGCAGTAATTCCATCCCAGCACAGAATGAGTTAAGAGCTTCCAACACTGCAACACGATTCCCTGCAAAGTCTATGAAGACACAATTGAAGAGGACAGCAGCAGCCCAGGGGCTCTGAAACAACAGTGAATATTCTACAGGTTTCAAACACTCATTTCTTCGGCTGTCTTATAAACATGAAGCATTGAAAATACTCAGTTAGATTGTAAACAACATCCTTTTAATATCTGGAAATATTTTGTGATCTTGCTTCTCTCAGTGGCTCCTGTGAATTTYAATGGAGCTGTGGTGCCTTTATACAAAGGGCCTCCTAAGCCAGCCCTTGTGAAGTCAATCAGCAGAAACCTGCCCAGAGTGAACTTGAACTCGGGTTCAAGCTTGCTTTGTTTTGCAAATTCACCTTTACTTATGCCAAGATAAATCTCTGTGCAGACTCACTCGATTTCTTTTTAGCACCCAGAAAGAAGTTCAAGAGCATTTAGTATATTCTGGGGCTGGCTGTAAAACACTTAACACTGTTGCTTTAACTTGCTGACTGCTAGAGACTGTCTAGTCTCTAGTCTCTAGACTGTCTCTAGTTGTTTTTGAAGAGGTCTGCCCATTTGAAGCATCTTCCAAAGTTCTTCAAGCTGTCATAGAAAACAGTAATAAATAGTTATCATGTGTTTAGTACTTTTTACACTCATATCACGCATTCAAACTGTTGGAAGTTTTGACTTTCCTATAACAACCAGCGCCAGTCAGGACTGATAGATGAAATCAAATCTCACAGTTTTAGGGTATAGAAATGAATGTCACTCGTTTCTTTTGCATATTGAGCTGCCATATTTAGGCATTTGGTTTAAACCATAAACACTAGCTAGCGACTCCACAGGCTGAATATTACATTCTCATTCCAGAATTGGTATTGACAATTCTGCAAGCATCTTGAGGTTAACACAAAAATACCTAAGAAGTAATGTACTTGTAACACGTTTAGCATCTCGCTTACAAATATTCAAAAGTTAATGTACCACAGGATAAGCAGCGTTTGTATGTATTTGTATGCATACATGTAGTTTCTTGGTAAAGTGTGAAAAAAAAATATTTATTTATACTCATAAGTCATTGCCCCTTGAAAAAATAAATAATAAAGAAGACAATCTACCACACTATCTGCACTAAAATACCATTAACAAAATTGGCACCCTTCACTGAAATGATGACCCCAGGAACAGAAAAAATTAAAGATAAACTTTACTGAACATCCAACAAATCTCAGTCTATTGAACATGCTCCTCCCATACAAAGACTGGAGTGAAGTCAAGTTTCATAAAGATCAGTGCTTGCTTTGCTGTACTTTTCCATACAAGCAGCATTTCCAAAGTGTACGCAACCCCTTTCAGAAGTGTACACAAACTTTCCTTGACCTTGCATGGATTTTCGGTGCTCCTAAATGCCATTGAGTGTCTTTATCTCCCATTCTATTTCGRATGGCTGAAGCACAGGGCAGCGCTTCCTGGCAGTTTATTCAAAGCCCATTCCTCCATTTTCAAKAGACCCTCTATGGCTAAAGCCAAACACAGAGGAGTTGTGCTCAAAGATGCACGTGCACACACGCATGCACACACACGATTCAGCACCAGTTCCAAATGGCTGGAGTTTGGACAACAACACAAGCAGAGCTATCAGGGTCAGCAACAAAGCAGCAATACAGTTATTCCCTTCCTCTCCTTTTCCCCCATTTCTATTAATGAAATAGTCTGCAATAAGATATTTTAGAAGTCTGGGTTTTCCCTTCACTTCCGGAATAAGATATAGACTTTAATTATTACTACAGGATTTACCCTTTTATTGGAAAAATATGCATTAAAAAAAAGACMCGTGGAAGTTAAGACATTTTGCCAAATGTCTTTTTTAGAAATAGCTTTGTCTTGGAGTAGCATATTTTCCACATGTTGCTACAGTTCCTGCAGTAAGTGTTAATTTCTTTTGGGCAGGACTACAAAAATACAAAAGCCATATATAACTGGTATGCTCTACAGGGTTTTAAGAATTTTTTACTTACTTAATGCTCTTCTCTTTGGCATAGATATTTTTAATTTTTTTTTAATTGCAAAGAGAGGATATTAGCTCCTTCCTTTTCTCAGGTGCTACACATGCTCATAAAAAAATGCCATCATTGAAACCTGTTGCACAATGATTTAACAAAAAGGAGAAATCCATTTTAATGCAATAGGCACAGGCTGTTTCAGCTGCTTATACCAGCAAGAGCTGCCCGATGGAAGGCCTATGGTCTAAGTGGCAGATGTCTCACACTACTTTTTCATCCTCTCCTTCCTCTCCCAGATTTATTATTACTTTTTTTTTTTTTAATATCTGCAGTGTTGTTTCGCAGTTGCCCAGCAGAGAGGGCTCTCGGTTCAGCTTGGTTTACCGGCTCCCAGGCTGTGCACACCTGGGTGGCACAGCCATCTAAAGGGGACCTCAACTGTAGCAAAAGGTAGGGAGATTTCTGTTTTGCACTCCGTCTTACAAATAAGTTGTCCAAGAAAAACAGCAGTGTAACCATTTCAAAGATTAAGAGGCTTGCTATTTTACTCACCTATTTGGGACTTTGCTTAATTCATTTTTTCTTCATTGATTATTCCTTCAAAGTTATACATCACAGACATTAGACAAACTGTGATTTGCAAGTCTCCAAAACAAGGGCTTGCAGGTCTTTGAGCCTTTTGGTAAAGCTGCAAGTCACTCTTCAACACCTATCTCCCTCCCTTTCCCAAAACCTTGAGACAACTCCTGTCATGCCTTGTACAGAAAACTCACCARGTCTGGTTTTCTCTTTTTCATTTTCAGGAAGTTCAATTCACTGCAAATACATTTAATTGGAAATTCCTCTCTCCATCTGTAACAATGTGAAGTTACTTATTCGTGGCAGTGATGTGTATCTCCACACATTTTTATCTGTATTCTTTCAATATYTGTCCTTATACCAGTTCATCAGCTCAGCTTTCAGCTACAGTTTATCATGTGTGCAGCCTCTACCCTCTCTCCCCACAAGCCTCCATTACATGGTCATTTCATTGCTATTACTCGTACATCAAGCCTTTTGTTGAGTTGCATTACTGAAGAGTCATGAAGCAGAATGAGCAGCCCAACATTATTTTGTGTCCTTCTTTTTGCACTGTTTTTTAACTGAGTTCTGAGACACTGCTTGAAAAGACAGAAAACACATTCAAATGTTTCAAGGGTTGCCTCAGATCACTATGCACTAATGACCTTCAGCATCGCCAAGTGTAACCAGACCAACCCCAAATAAGGTTAATTCCAGAGATCCTCCTTCCATTTCTTTAAAGATCTTACCTTGTTTGGTTCTAACAGACCAAGATCCCATTAAAAAAAAAAAAATCTAGGCCTTGTGTAAAAAGCAGGAATGAATCAAAGATCCCACCCTTCATCTGGAGGTAAAAACCCTCTCTCCATCTGCCAGCTTGGCTGCAGGTATGTCCCAACGCTGCACACAGGGTGCTCTCTTTGAATAAGAAACCACGTTCACTTCCAAGGTTCTCAGACTTGGTGACGTTTCTCACAGCCCTGACAGAAGACTAAGTCCAATAAGACTTCAAGTCACCCCTGGGACTCAGGAGACAACCAGCAATACCAACATTCAAACTCGAGTACCAACATACATATCTGAGAAGAATGGATCTAAGCATGAGGGGGAGAAAGAAAGGAAGTGGAAGGTATAAATGCATAGCAAGGACATATATCTATAACACTATATATTCTACAGCAAAAAAAATGTCCATCTGAACCATTACAGCTTTCCGCCATGTATGGCTGATCTAAGACAAATGCTACTGGAGAAAAACCACAGGTGCTGACATATTTGGGCAAGAGCAGATAAGCAGATTCACCATCGTCTTATAGTCCATCAAATGTAAAAACCCTTCTCACTAAATAACTCATTATGGAGATTAAGTGGTGAACTACATCTTGCAGGAGCCACCCAAATGTGAGCGACTCAGCTGTTCACAACATCTGCTGCTGGGGTTGGCAGGAGGAGAGCTGGCGCTCGGCCACCCCGGGAAGGCCCTTTCTGGAAGGGCTGGCAACTCCGCGCGTTCTCCAAGAGGCAGGGAAGTGCTCCGGCAGGCGACGCGTGCAGAAAATCCTGCAGCTGCCTGAAATACCACTCTGGTGAAGATTGGAATCAATTCTTTGAGCAAATAATCTCATAGAATCACCCTGCAATTTTGTACCCCTTCAAAAATGGAAAAGAAAACAAGGCAAAAAAAATATATTCTCCAGTTGCTGGAACACAGCATTCTTTCCTCACGATTTCCCAGATCGCAGCATTATTACTCAATTCCAGTTCCACACCATCCTGGACTGGTCACACCATTTTTGCACAAGATTGTTTCCATAAAAAATTCAGCACAACTGTCTTAAACTAAGAGGTAGATGCAGCTGTTAGGAAAACATGAGCTTTGGGGTATATGTAGTTGTTTCCAAGCAAATCTTCTACTGTTGAACTTTCTGCCTTTAGTAATTTTGGCTTCTCATACTACTGTTCTAGATAGTGAGGAATCCAAGCCAAAAGCAAAAAACAATTTTCTTTATCTTAAGAAACAACTCTTATGTGGAAAAATCAGCACAATGTATAGTAATGTATACAATGTATGCTGTAAATACAAGTAAGTATGATTAAGTCCTGTCAGGACTGCTGCAAAAGATTACAAGCACAGGCAATTCTTACACGGGTATCTCAAGGAACACCTCTTTCCTGGACAGCACTTTATACCTGTCTGGTTGCAAAGTACTCCTGTAGATGAGGAGACAAAGTCATCTTT